GAGTCAACTATTTATATATTTTTAAGTTTTAAATAAGACAATCTTGATATATCAAAAGATAAACAGAAATCTCTTTAATTGGGTTAGAAATAATTTTTATTTTATTCTTTTGGTGTGTATGTTCACACGTGCTTATTACCTTTGCACTAAGAAACTATATACTAAAAAAAAAAAAGAAACTATATACTGTATACTCATATATGTTTATATATGTGTACAAAGAGGAAATCCATTTAAGTATTTTAGAGCTCAAGTTCCTCTTTTGCAAAACTACAATGTTTGGTGTTAAATTCAAAACAAAAGACCACAACATATATGGAATGATGTTTAAAAGAAAATCTCTCAGTCCAGCCACAGTGGCACAGGACGTGGAGCACCCCTCCATAACGCCGGAGCTACTTTGGGGGCACAGGTTTGGACTCCAGGTTGACCTGAACACACCAGAGGCACCCGAACATGTCTGTGATCCCGGCTGGCTTGTAGTATGGCAAGATTCTGTCAAGGGTACCCTCTCTCAGGAAATAAGTAAATGAACTTAAAAACAAAACCCCTCAAAATGCTGAATAGAGGGAAAATTTAGCTTTTGTGATGTTAAATATTTTCAAATGTACATTATAGCTGATTAAAAAATCTGAAAAGAAAAAAACTTTGTTGATGTTGCCGCTGTATCTTAGACAACAAAGGAAAGCAAACACAGCAAAGGAAACGCCTTCAAAAATATGAACACTCCAGCATTCTTACAGGGTGAACTAAGTTGCTGGTAAGTTTCCACCCAATGAAAATAGAGAGAGAGAGAGTTATTCAAAAAAACAAACAGGGACCAGCAGCTAGCATAATGGCTATGTCGCTAAACTCCCATGTAGTCAACCACGGTTCGAGTCCTGGACCTGGTGGCTTAAACTCATGCCAGGCGCGTGTGTGTGCGTGCCCAAGATCCCGAGAGGAGAATGGAGGAGAAGGGATTGCGGGCGTGGCCATCCCCCCTGGGGGAGGGGGGGTGCCCTATAGCAAAAACCTTTCCAAAAAAGAAAAAACAAACAAACAAAAAGCATTAGAGATTAAATTAAGAGGCTGGGTTTTGAAGTGTGGTACAAAGACCCGTGGGAGTCCCTGCAGGGTCACACAATTTTCACAGCAATTCAGAGCCATCATCGGCCTGTTTCCCCTTGCTGACATTGCACTGACAATACGAAAGCAACAGTGAGTAAAACAGCTGGCCTCAGCACAGAACAAGGCAGAGCACCAAACTGTACTAGCAGTCCTTGTATTTTTTACCATGTGTGCGTGTGTCCATAACCAAAACCCTGAGAAGAGAATGGAGGAGAAGGGATTGTAGTGTGGCCATTCCTCCTGAGGGGTGATGTCTCGCTTTCTGACTCTGTTTCTCTGGTGAGCACACATGCCCTATAGCAAAAATCTCTGTAAAAAAAAAAAAAAAAAAGAACAAAAAAATGTTCTTTTTTGATGTGCAACATGAAATATGGAAGTTCTACTTAACCCAATGAACCAATATTTTCCAAATGACCAAAGCATCATATGATAAAATCAAAGATTGGCCAAAGAGTTCTTCACAGTGCAATGCATACCATGAATTTTAATGTCACATGAAATGTTCACTCTTATTGTTTCAGATTCTACACTACAACTACTTTTACTGGTCTCATAGTTTGAATGTGATATCAAAGAAGAATATCCACAGTCATTAGAAAAAAATGTTTCCCTTTCCAATTGTATTTCTATTCAAGGGTTCACTTCATAGTATCCAAACCCACTCCCAAAATGTATGTGTGTGTGTGTGTGTGTGTGTGTGTGTGTGTGTGTGTGTGTGTATGTTTCAGCAGTGAAAACTGAAGACATAATGTGTTTGGGTCTGTGGCTATGAGAATCCAGTTGTCTTTTATTAAGCCAGATGTGCAAGAGATTTGTTAAAATTTAAAACAGTGCTACTTTGTTTAAAACAAAAGATTCCTAATTTTTTTGTTGTTTTGGAAAATATCATTATTTGTTCATAGAAATCTTATAGTACAAGGCAGTGGATTTCTTATTGTAGTTATTACCTGACTCAATATATAATTATTTCAATTACTTTTTGTTTTACTTTCTAATATGGTAATTATAAACAAATATAACCTGCCTGAATAAGAGTCTTTGGAATCTAAATGTTTAAGAATGCGAGAGAAGGGGCCGAATGGTAATATGGTGGTGATGCAATGTGGTCACATGGGAAGACCTGAAGTCTGTATCTACCTGAGGTCTCCCTGTCCGTGCCAGACATGACAGGCCTTCGTGTGCATGTGCACCCGTGATTGGGCTGACTAAGGCGGGGTATGAACATGGTATGAATGGTAATACGGTGGTGATGCAACGTGGTCACATGGGAAGGCCTGAGGTCTGTATCCCGAGGTCTTCCTGTCCGTGCCAGACACGACAGGCTTTCGTGTGCATGTGCACCTGCGATTGGGCTGACTGAGGCGGGGTATGAACATGGTATGAAGACCCCGTTGCGGGTACCTCTTTCTTCTCTCCCTATTTCCCTCTTTCTTTCTCTCTGTTTTTCTTTCTTTCTCTCTGTTTCCTTCTCTCTTTCTCTCATGTGGAAGAAATAAATGAAAACTGTGTAAGAGAGTCATGTGATCTTAAAGCTTGAGGACCACTAGATTAAAATAACCAGAGATCAGTGACTAAGTGTTAATAAGAGAAAGAAAATTAACACTTGTTTTGAATGTCTGTTAAAGTTCTGAGCTCATTCACATCTCACAATGACTCTGGGAGGACAGCATTGTTATCCCCGTGTATAGGTAAAGAGACTAAGTTCCAAGGAGTAAGGTATCCAAACTTATGATTTCAGTCCAGATCTGCAAAACTTCATGCTCTTTCCTCTTAATTCTCATTGCCTCCCTACTAAAGAACATTTTATTCTAATTGTACGTTTCGTTTGACCAAAATAATGACTTTTTGTCTTAGTGCGTATATACATGTGTGAGTGTGTCAGGGGAGGGGATGTCTCAACAAATGCAGTAGAAAAGGAAAGCAAATGTTGCAGTATGCATACACGTTTCCACGTGTGCACACATATACATGCACACACAAAGAAATTAATATTTATGGCTAAATAGTAAGTTTTGCCCAAAGGAATAAAAGAAACATCCTCAGAATAGGATACTGATCATTTCAAGGGAACAAATGTATGATCTTCCTTAGGGTCCCCATGTGTGCATTCTCCAGTCTTCCTTTAACCACACTGTTGTTTTATTTGTTTGTTTGTTTGTTTGTTTAAGGTTTTTACCCTAAGGTGCATGTGTTCACCAGAGAGAGAGACAGAAAGAAAAATAGTGCAAGGGAAAGTGAAATCAATCCCCGGGATGATTTCTCCTCTATTCTCTACCTGGGATTTCGGGCAAGCACACACACCTGCCCAGAGTGGATTTTAAACCACCAGGTCTAGGAATTGAACTGCGGTGGGTCATGTGGGAGTCCAGCGTTTTAACCATTATGCCACCGGTCGACCCCCACACTGTTATTACTAGTACTTACTATTTATTGAGAATTCATTATGGTCAGTCAAACATTTCATTATCTTACTCATTCCTTAAAGCAATTCTGAGTGATCAGTGTTATTCCTAACTTACAGAGGAAGAGTCTGCAGAGTTGAGAGGTGACATGACTCACCAAGGCCACGTTATGAGTGAACAGGTGACTCGAGTCTTAATTCAGAGGCAGCCCATGAGTCATGTTACACTGTGTACCTGCTCTCCAAAGAACTTCAGAGCCTTGATGTTTGTAGAGGTACCGTACCATTCCTGAATTGCCTTTCTCTGGGCTCTCTTTGTGTGAAAAAGAGGAAAAAAGCAAAAGCAAAAACACCCTTTCTTTTTAAGCCACTGTCTGATACAATCAAACAAGATTCCTAAGAGTTACAACCAGTGATCATTTCTTTTCATGGGTAACTTATTTTTGACAATGTTAAATTGCAGTTGGGAACTACATAGAAATATTTTTAACTGATGTGATAAAAGCTGTTCATCTATTACAGGAATCGATGCTTTGCTATATAAATATATTAAAAGTTAATACACATTTTGAAAATCATCTCCTATATACCAGGTAGATAGTAATGAAGGGCTTGGTTTTGGACCAAACCGAAGCTTAGTACAGATCACGGATTAGTTACGTGGCCTTGGGCAAATTACTAACCTCTCAGAGCCTCTGCTACTTCCTCTGAGCTGAGGGCTGGCGAAACCTGCTTTAACCTGCTATTATGCAGATTGAATGAGGTCATGTATGAAAAACCTTCAGCACAAGACCTGGCATGGAGAAAATGGTAGCTCTTTTTTTAACAGAGGGATATTAAATAATTTGATTTTGAGCATGTCACTGACTGTACAGGTGAACCATCACAAAGCAATTTGTCCTCAGCCATCACCTAAATAATATATGGTCTTAGTAGCAGATCATAATAGAGTCACTGTCTCATTTCCTACTAAATGTAATAGCAGTGAGGGCTTCAAAGGTTCTCCAAGCAGTAAGAGAAACCCACATTTTTCCAAAGTACACCAGAGGAAGCTGCAAAAATTACTATTTTGGCAGAAGTCATTATAGTGGAGAAAGACTTTGAGAAAGTGTAGGTTACTGTCACACAATCTCAAAAGTGGTGCTCATGGAGGATAGAGAGTTTTTGAGAGGATGGGCACAATTCAATAGAGCCTATAGTGAAAAACTCAGTCCCTTTGTCTGCAGAGCACACAACCTAGCTTGCCACGTCCTCACCTGCACAGGGAGGCAGCTGCTGCAGATGCCGCAGGGACCCAAGGCTAGAACCATGTCGTTCAAAGCACCTCACTATGTCTCCAAACAGCCTAGGCAACTGAGTGAACTATGGAAATCCAACCAGCTGAGACTGAAAGACCTGGAGTCAACAAACTCCCGACAAGTGCAGCTCAGAGCAGCAGTATCTCCACAGAAAATCAGTGCACAATGATGCCAGGGAATCATTTACTTACCTGCAAGGGTTAGCGATTTCTTCTGGTGTTGTTTTCATAAAAGGTGAGACAGGTTTTTCCACAAAAGAACCAAAGCCCAGTCTAAAGTTGCTGGTTAATTTAGACATCTCCTTGGAAAGCAGAGAACCCAGCTCCTTGATTGTGTTGAGGTCATCATCCATGGAGGCAGAGAGGTCCATGAGGTAGTACAGGTCCACTGGGTAATCCTCGGTCTGGCGGACATGCACTTGCAGGGTCTGCTCTCCACCTGTGAAGCACACACAGGAAGCACCCTGAGACGCATGTGCAACTAGCCAATTGCTAGGTCACCTGGCTACTTCATTTCAATAAGAATTTACTGAAGGTACATATGATTACAAGAACTATGTAGCAGAGTTTAAAAATAAACACACCCATGAAAATCTTTCAGCAGCAACTTTAGAACTACCAAAGGAGGTATAAATTAGGATATGTTATATCTCCGTGGGAGAACTAGCATCCATTTAGATGGAAGATAAGCTGAACTTTTTGTGTGTGGTTTTAGAAAAGGAGGACCAAAAAAGGGGAGTTCCAATCCACATTACAACACTTAAAGAAATGTGAGGTAACGCTTAACAACATTTGAGTAATTCAAATGGTTATTAGAGAAGATTTCTTTAGTAACATATTTGGAGTGCAAATAAAAAATGTGAATTAAAAAAATGTTAGACTAGCAATTATTTTTCCTTAAGAAATCTGAGTCATAATAATCAATAATATGTAGTAAGGTACAAGAGATATTAGTGGAATTATGGTATTACCATATATTACATTAGATTTATTTATATTAGTGAACACAGAAGAGGGGTTTCCTCTCTTTTCTTAAGAAATCATAACATACCTGGTCTCAATTTAAGAATCAAGTTTTGAGGTGCAATCTGAACAATGTCAGAACTATTTTTCTGTCTGCCTACACTGAGAGGCTTATTTTTAAGTATTTCTACTTGGGAGACAGGGTTTTCGATGAAGGTTAATTGACATCCATTAGCTAAAAGATTTGCTGGAGTATCACACCTTGCACCAACTCCAGATGGATGGGTAAAATTCTAAAAAAGAAAAAAAAAACAATAAACAGAGAAAAGAAGACAAGTCTGTATTTTGTTATAAGATAATAGCAACTGATTTTAAAACAAACAAACAAACACCCTTTGCTAGTCATGCATCTTGATGTGTATCATATTCTCACGTGACTGACATTGAGAAGAGGTCTAAAGCTGTTATAGTCAAATAATCAGAGAATTATACCAGTAAAATTTGAGTAATACTGGATTCTTCTTTCAATTACATCTGATTAAATTATGTACCAATTTTTGTTATTTTTATGCACTGAAAACAAAATAAAAACTTGCTAGAGTGTGTGTGGACTGCCTGAGACAAAGAAAGCGAGAAATAAATTCTCCCCCCATCACCACCACTATAGGGGTGGTCACACTGCAATCTCTTCTCCTCCATCTCTCCTTCCTTGAAGGATTCTTGGGAATATATGCACATATGCCCAGGCTCTTTTTTTTTTGGAGAGGTTTTTGCTATAGGGCGCAGGTGCTCGCCAGAAAGACAAAGACAGACAGAGAGATAGAAAGCGAGAAATCACCCCCCAGGGGGGATGGCCACGCCACAATCCTATCTCCTCCATTCTCCTCTCAGGATCTTGGGTACGCACACACACGTGCCTGGCGTGAATTTAAACCACCAGGTCCGGGACTCAAACTGCAGTCGACTACGTGGGAGTCCAGTGACATAGCCATTACACTAACTGCTGGTCCTACGCCCAGATTCTTCAAGTCATTGAGTCCAGGACTGAAACTACACAGTAGACCATATGAGATCCAGATGTCCTAACCACTAGCTGGACCCTTTTTCAATTTTTCAGAGTTTACTTCTTGAAAGTTTATTTTGAGCCATGACCAGATCCTTGGGTTGGGTTCTTAGAGTTGATGTCACCCTGTGAATTTATCTGTTCAGAATGACCTGGGGGTTTGTGGAATCCTAGGACTGTCCAAGCTCTCTGGTGTGTCTGTTGCCAAATTCAGTGACAAAGCGAGACTCTTCTGTTGATTCCTAGAGGAAAGGGATTGTAGCATCTACCTGTCTAGCACTCTGTACCAGTTTTACTCATTGTTGCATTACCCTTGTTTTATTACAGTATTACTTCTCTAACATTGACCTTTTGGGGACAGTAAACTCAGGGTCTTAAGAACTTTTAGAACTTCTTCCAAGATTTGGAGGTAAAGAAGAAAAGTGAAAGGGAAGATGTTTTCTAATCCTGCTTTTCTGCATTTGACTCAGGAGTGTCCCAAATCTCAGAGCCACCTGGGAAGCAGGCGAAGTAAGAAGAGGCTGTGTTTCCCAGAAGAGTTGTGGATGCTCCAACCCTGGAACACCCAGAACAGAGAGAGAGATCCGAGAGAGAGACACCTGTTCTACCTGGTAGCCAAGGCTTCTCTCTAGAGCAGGTGAGCACCTGGGTAAGTTTAACTCGGGGTCCATTAACTCTCATAGTTAAAGAGAGAGAACCAAACCAATTATCTTGGTTTTTGTTTTTTTTTTGTTAAATTTTTAAGCCTTCCCCCCCCCCCATTTTCACCCACTAGAAAAGTTACATTTCTTCTGAAATTGATGTTTCGGAAAATAACTAGTTATCTGGCAATCTGACCTGTGCATATTTGAGGCTAGGCCAGGCTTGGCAAACTCTAACTTCCCATCATCAAACCAAGGCAAACAATGAGTGGACAAGGCCTCAGAATCCTTCTTGATATAATGGCATTGCTATCACCTGTAGCTGTAGCCTCTGCCAAAACTTCAGATAGTGTTAACCACAAAACCCATTTTCTTTTCTTTTTCTTTTTAAAAAAATTTTTTAAAAGAGATTCCTTTTTGTTATAGGGCCACGCGCTTACCAGAGAGAAAGAAAGTGAGAAATTATCACCCAGGGGGGATGGCCATGCTGCAATCCCTTCTCCTCCATTGTTCTCTTGGCAGGCATGCACACGTGCCCGGCTTGAGTTTCAAGCCACCAGGTTCAGGACTTGAACCAGAGTCGAATATAAGGGAGTCCAGCGACATAATTATTATACCATCTGCTGGTCCCCACAAAATCCACTTTCTATCTGCCCTAAGCAGAAGCCTAATTTAGTTTTTGCTCTAACTCTCTCAGCTGATATATCGATAACTACTTCTACTATTGGAATGACCTTAGAATAATCCGGCCTTAAAATGTGACAATGATTTTACTGCCAGGTTTATCATCTACAAGTAAAACTATCAATAGTAATTTAGGTAACTCTGTTAAAGGGATGCTTCAAAAATGCATCTTAATAAAAATTCCAGGCTAATTTGTTTTTTCATGCGTCTGGCATGAAACTAGTACTATCTTCTTTAGGAGGTCAATGCCCAGAAAATATGTGAACTTTTCCCTCTTACACTCTATCATTGGGAAAGTCATGACACATTGTTGCACGGAAAAACAAAAAAAATATATCATATCTTTCCTGACAACCTAATATATTCTCAATCTTACTTTTTTTTTTTTTTTTTGGAGAGATTTTCACTGTAGGGCGCGTGCGCTCACCAGACAGACAGACAGAGACATAGAGACAGAAAGCGAGAAATCACCCCCCAGGGGGGATGGTCATGCCGCAATCCCTTCCCCTCCATTCTCCTCTCGGGATCCTGGGCACGCACGCACACGCGCCCGGCGTGAGTTTTAAGCCACCGGGTCCGGGACATGAACCGCGGTCGACTACGTGGGAGTCCAGCGACACAGCCACTACGCTAACTGCTGGTTCCCCTCTCAATCTTACTTTTGATCCATGAGCTCAAAAAGAGCAAAATTCCCTAGAACTTTTGCTTTTGATCCCATCAGTCAAGACAGTAGCGAGGAAATGATCTGGCTCATACTCTCTTGTCTATGAGGCCACCTCCTACACACATGTTCAGTTTAGGATTGGATTTAACAGTTACAGCCCAGTTCTGAGTTAGGTGTCTATGCTGGTTTCCCTTCGCTGGACTTGGCACTTGTAAGTTTTGATCTGTCCTGATTCTCTTTATGAGATCCGGTGGGTAGAGACTTGTTTCAAAATCAAGAAATCTAATGCATCTCTTTCTTACCATAAATCATTTACAGAGTGTTCTGTAGACTTTCAGTGTAGTCAGGGACTTAGGATGGCTTGTGAAATATTCTCCGATCATCACCATACCACTTTCACATGGTTTTCAGTTTGATCAGATCAGGAATGTCTGTTTGGGGCTTTGTCGTTGGTGTGGTACGGAGGTGCTGAGCTCATGAAAATGTAATTTTTAAAGAATTGCTTAATGTCTGGGACCAGCATTTAGCATAATGGCTATGTCGCTGGACTCCCATGTAATCAACCACAATTCGAGTCCCAGACCCAGTGGCTTAAACTTACACTGGGCACATGTGTGTGCATGCCCCAAGATCCTGAGAGGAGAATGGAGGAGAAGGGATTGCGGCGTGACCATCCTCCCTGGGGGGGTTGATTGCTCACTTTCTGTCTCTCTGTCTTTCTGGTGAGTGCACATGCCCTATAGCAAAAACGTCTCACAAAAAAAAAAAAAAAAAGAATTGCTTAATGTCTGAAATTAATATTTCCCCAAACCTAGAACACTTCTCTTAGAACCTAGCACTATGGTTCAGAATGAATCCTGGTTCTCAGATGATAACATTGACCATCAATTGTATATTTAACTTAAGAAAATATCATCTCTGGGGCCAGCAGATGGCATAGCAGTTACGTCACTGACTCTCACATGGTTGACCGGTCAAGTTCCAGACTCAGTGGCTTGGAACTCATGCTGGGTGCATGCATGGCCAAGATCCCAGGAGGAGAATGAGGAGAAGCAATTGTGGTGTGGTCATCTCCCTTGGGGGGTGATTTCTTACTTTCCCTCTCACTGTCTCTGTCTCTCCCCAGTGAGTACACAGGTCCTAAGGCAAAAACCTCTCAGAAAAAAAAAAAAAAAGGAAAAGAAAAAATCATCTCTAAGATCTCGGATTATCCAGAGAGCCTCAGTATTTTATAAATAGCCAGTTAGAAATGACTTTAGAATAAAATGAAGAATCAGGTTAAATAAAAAATTCTGAGTTAAGTATTATTTTCTGAATAATTTGACATCCACTCCTCGCGAAAATTGTTTTTGAACGCCACTTTGTTTTTGAATCACACAAATGCCACTTCAGTCCAGGAATGTGTACATTTTCCTTTCTGGGTTTGTTATTCATATAACCCCATAGAAAGCAGGACACTACCAGTGCTATCGCTGTGGGAATTAACATAAATGTGACTGCAAACAGTTTTTTAAAGCACGATTAGTATTCTTAGGGGGTTTTGTGCAAACAACAGACCAAATTGAGATTAAACTTATTACTATTATTACGACTGCAAATAAGTTAGTTTACACCTTTCTTTAGTAGAAGGGAAAATGGAGAGAGAAAAAAATGTTTCAGAAGAAAATTACAGCGCACTAGTTACTAGATTTTAGCTTTGTCCATATCTGTTTTTTGACTTTTTAGTATCCACCTACTGTTTGAACAGAATCCTAACCTTTTTCCTAGCTTTAAGTCTTAAGCAAATTCTTAACATTTTTTATTTTGATTTATTAAAGCTAAAACTGCTTTTCTTGGCATTAAAAAAATAAGTACATAAAAAACAAACAAACAAAAAATAAATAAAAACAACTTACCTACTTAATGACTGCAGTCAGCTGACATAGTCTCAGCTAGGTGCTACATTAGAGTATGTTCATTCTACTCACTGAGTTTTACGGCTAAAGTCAGACATGTGTTCTGATGTGTTTACATCAACCACACTTACTATTGAAAGTACTTAGTTTAATTAAGACCTTGTATGAATCAATAAAATGTGGGGGGGAAACATGGAAAGCAACTATAGATAACAGAGACAGTGTGGGAGGAGGGTGGGAAATGGCAGAGGGTGAGAGGGAGAGAATCAAGGGGGAAAAAAGAAAGAAGTAAAATATATAAGAAACAAGAAATGGAAATTTACTTGTTGATAACATGTATGGTAATCTTTTTGATCGACCCAATATACAGTGTCTTCTGGATAGGAAAACTTATTTTGTACACTGCAATGATATACAGTGAATGAATGTAAAATAAATATATTTAAAATAAAATAAATTTTAAAAATGAAATCAAAAAATTATCAGTTAATGGGATTGGGCAGTTAGGTTGATTCCACGTCTTAGCAATTGTGAATAATGCAGCAATAAACATGGATGTGCAAGCGTCTTTTCGAAAAAAAAAAAAAATTGTTGATGTCATTGGTCTTACCTCCTGAGAACACCACGCACACTGAGGTCCGATGAGTAAGCAGTCCCCACAGGTCTCTGCACCTCCCACGGCACAGCCACCTGCATTTAAGCCCAGCAAGACACAGGGAATTAAGCTCACTTTCAGTGATCCCATTTATGAGATTACAGCTCTTCAGTTACTCGAACCAAACAGTATCAATGTTGATTTTAATCTTCAAAGATCAAGCCTCCAAATAGTCACAATTCACCTAAAAGTTTACATTTTATATCCATCCCTTTGAAAACATGTGTGTTCTGTAAGCCAAACGTTATCAGTTTCTTGTTTCTTAAAATGTGAAAATATCTAAATGTTCAGTCATCCTACTTATTATCTTTATTCAATATCTGCCACTTTAATTTTTAAAAATTATTTGTACCTACCCATTAAAAAAATGATTTTCTCATACGTGAGCTATTCCTGTTTTTGAAACAAATCTTTCCTTCTCAAGATTATTACTCTGAAGCAAAAGGCCTTGTCCAATAGAAGAGTTTCTGAAACGGTTGTCACAGCGTCATTAAGAAGTCCTGTTGTGTGGTATGGTTAATTCTTCTCATTAAAATGCCTGTGCAACCTTTGTATTTATTTACCTTAAGCCTAGAGCTTTCGCCGTGGGAACAGCCCTGTTTGCCTGTAATTTGTTAAAGTGCTCGCTCGGTGGCAAAAGAGCAATCAAACAGATCAAATAAAAAATGACTTCAGATCTAGTTTCTGAACCAAATGACAAGTTTGTCAAGCATACCACGAGAGCAATATATCGGAGAACTGAGGTCTTACCTTGCACACGGTCATTCCTTCCTAGAAGCAGAAAGAACAGGCAGAGCAGTTCAATCCCCATTCGTTTCAGTTCTCGCTGTGCAGACAGATTAAAAAATGAATTACGTCCAACATTACAAGACCGAAGCTGAATATCGTTAAAGTCTTTGTTTCTTGAAGTGTAAAATTTTAAATACTACTTACACTGTTTTGAAAAGAAACTTGAGATGTAAATGTAAAAGAGTTCATTAAGACTGAAATGAAAACAGAGGCTACCTGGACAGGTAAAGAAGAAAAGCTGTGTTTAAAAGCAACTTCAACATGATTTACTTCCTTGTTCTCCTTATAAGGAAAGCAGGTGTACAATCACCGGGAAGGTGGGGAGATTCATTCAGGAGAAACTTTTATTTAAATTCTACTAGTCTCTCTGCAGCTTAGAGAAAGCTACTATCTTTAGTGAAATGTTAACCAGTGAAATGTCAAAAGAGCAACCCAAAGAGGATTATTTCAAAATTAATTACATGTAAATGGTAACGATGTTAAATACAACACAAGTATCTAAATTATCTGTCAGAAGAGTTTTTCAAAGAAGGAGCTAAATGAAAATACCTGAGATTTTTGTACTCCATTATTAAATCCTTTGCAGAGAAATGAAATAAACTCTGAAAAATAAAAATTACTGTTTTACAGTCAAATTAAAGAGTAAGCTAGGGAAAATACTATTTTTCTTATTTTTCAAATTGAAGGACACTTTTCATTAAGTGTAGAATCTTTATTTAAAAAGTTATAGTGAGCATAAATATATGAAAATTAACTTCAATCAAACTAAGATAATCTCAAAACAACAACAATAATGGAAACGGAAATAATAGTACCCAGGATTCTGAATTACATAGGATAGGGACCAAGTTCTTTTTCTTATGTGCTGTCCCAGGTTGTAGCTCACTCAGCACACAGGAGGTATGCATTTGTTAAGCAAAAGAATGGCAATTCAAAATATATACACTCTATGGTTAAGTGTATATGTTGTCCCCCCCCCAGTATATTCAGGAGTGTGTTTGGAGATTTGTAGAAACTGAGAACAGCTAAGAATTCAAAACACTCACTGCATCACTCTCTAAAGTGTCTCACCTTAGCTCCTTTGTGGCTGAGCTTTCGTCCTAAGAGATTATCTTTTAAAGATGAATTTTTAGGCAGCCATGTGATACCTGTGTAAAAAAAGGAAAACTAATTATAGGCTGAAGACTGCTTAGGCTCTTCTCAGAAGTACATGTTCAGCTTTGAAGTCCGTTGAACCTAGGAACCTGGAAGAACATGGCAGGTAGCCTGCAGTGAGAATCCAGAATTATTCAATAGTTAGAAAATATGACTTTTGGAAGAAAAATAGTTACATGAGCTCAGCTGATTTAGCATGAAGAAGAAAGATGGAGACACAATTTATCTATGTCCCTGATATTGTCTCCATTTTTTAAATCCTGTGTTAGCTGTTATTCATTTCTTCATCCATTCATTCAACAAGTACTTACTGAGCATCTCCTTTGTGCCAAATATTATTCTTGAAGCAGAAGCTATGCCAGTGAAGAAACCAAGTTCTAGACTCATGCAGCATTTAATCTAGGCTGAGGAGCAGTATGGAAAGATGGACTCTTATCAGGCAGTGATGGGACCAGCAGTTAGCGTAATGGCTATGTCGCTGGACTCCCATGTAGTCGACCCCGGTTCACGTCCCAGACCCGGTGGCTTAAACTCACACCGGGTGCGTTTGCGTGCGTGCCCAAGATCTCGAGAGGAGAATGGAGGAGAAGGGATTGCGGCGTGGCCATCCCTCCTGGGGGGTGATTTCTCACTTTCTGTCTCTCTGTCTCTCTCTGTCTGTCTGGCGAGCGCACACGCCCTATAGCAAAAAATCTCTACAAAAAAAAAAAAAAAATCAGGCAGTGACCAGGACTATGAGAAATGATAAAGCTGGATGAAAGGAAAAGGAAGTATGGAGAATGTGTTATTTTATTTAGGATAGTAAGTATTTTTCTTATTTGGGACAGGAAGGGTTTCCTTGATCAGCCAACATTTGAGAGAGCCCTAGATGACTTGGGCAAATGTGACACAGTGCAGAGGTCCATGTAGCCCATGTTAGGGTTTTGTTTTATTTTGTTTTGAGAGAGATTTTTGCTATAGAGTGCATGCACTCTCTGGAGACATAGAAACAGAGTGAAAGTGAGAGATCACTCCCTGGGATGGATGGCCATGCTGCAATTTCTTCTCCTCCATTCTCCCCTCAGGATTTTGAGCATGCATGCACACGCACCCAGCTAAGTTTTAAGCCACCAGGTCTGGGACTCGAACTGCAGTTGGCCATGTGGGAGTCCAGTGCGTCAATCACTATGTCACCTGTTGGCCCCATGCTAGTTTTTGTTTAATTTTTTCAGAGGTTTTTGCCTTAGGGTGCATGTTCTTGCCAGAAAGAGAGAGACAGAGACAGTGAGAGGGAAAGTGAGAAATCACTCCTCAGGGGTAATGGTCACACTGCAACCCCTACTCTTCCATTCCTCTCAGAATTTTGAGCAGGCACACACATGAGCCTGGCTGAGTTTGAAACCTGTGGATCTGGGACTCAAACCTTGGTCACCCTTTTAGAATATAGTGTTTTAATCACTATGCCACCTGCTGGCTCCATGATAGGATTTTTTTTTTTTTAGAGGTTTTTGCCTTAGGGAGCATGCACTCGCGAGAGAGAGACAGACAGAGACAGAGACAGTAAGAGGGAAAATGAGAAATAACCCCCACACACACATAGAGGGAGGATGGTCATGCCACAATCCTTCCTCCTCCAGTCTTCTCGCTGGATTTTGAGCATGCATGCACACACACCTGGCATGAGTTTTAAGCTACCAGGTCCTGGACTCAAGCTGTGGTCAGCCATGTGGGTGTCCAGTGCCTTAATCACTATACCACCTTCTGGCCTCACGCTAGGTATTTTTAAAAGCAAGTGCAGTAGGAGATGGTCAGGTTTGGAGGCAGAGGTTAGATTCTGTAGTCTTAACCTTGAATTTTATTCTAAACATGTTGGAGGGCCATTGGAGCATCGAAAGCAGAGGGGTGATATTTAATTTTTATTTTAACTAACATATACTGGTAAATGCTGCTGCCTGGCAGGCTGAAGTCACAGGGGAGGCTTGGGTTCAATTCCTGGCCTAGCCTAAAAAGCCAGTTGTGGTAGCATGTACCTGAGTCTCAGCTACTTGGGAGACTGAGGTAGGAGGATCACAACATAGTGAGACCCTGTCTAAAAAAGAGAAAGAGAGAATATAAACTAGAATAAGCCAAAAAACCTATTCATCCTACTTTTACCTGGTCACTGCTCTGGATAATTTGTACCAAGCTATAAGGCACAGAGGGCATAAGCTTGCTTCCCAAAGATGTGGTGCCAGTGCCCTCTCCTGGAAAGAACCCCATCCACCCCATGCAGAGGGAGGCTGCCAGCATCCCATAAAGTCACCCAAGCCAAAACTGTGTCACCTAGGCCAAGCAGACCAGACTTCTGTACATGTGGAATTTGACCAGGAAGTGTAAGCAAATTGGGAGCTTGGTAAGGGGAGCTGAGCTGGCAGGATGCAGACAGAAGAATCAGGCTGGAGGGCACTTGATGCTTCAGGACTGAGCCAGCGTCTGGAGGAATTTGCAGCTACAAGGAGGCCAAGCCAGGCACAGGAAAGCTGCACTGGTGGAAGACAATATGGCAGGCTGAGTGGATCCATAGCGGATCAGTAGAGAAGGGCCGTGAGCCACGTGAACTGAAGACACGAGCATTGGATCCATGAGCACACTTTGCCGAGGGGAGAGGGCATGACCCAGGCCTGGGGCTGCCATGGGTCCTGAATGATCCCACCAGAATGAGTCTCTCTGAGACCTGGCTTTCCCCAGGACCTTGTTTCCTTTAGACCAGTCTATTCTTATAATAGATTTCCATCCTTTTTATAAAAAAGTCTCTCTCTCTTTTTTTTTTTCCCCAATGCCTTAGGGTACGTGTGCTCACCAAGGAGCGAGAGAGAGATAGAGAGAGAGAGAGAAATCACCTTTGGGGGATGGCCACACTATAATCCCTTCTCCATTCTCTTCTCAGGATTTTGGGCATGGATGCACGTGTGCCCAGTGTGATTTTCAAACCACCAGGTCTGGGACTCAAATTGCAGCCAACCATGTGCTACACCATCTGCTAGCCCCAGTAAAGAGAGTCTCTATGTCTTAATATCAAAAGGTCTTGTCATGCCGTCTACATTGTCGGCCAAGGTAATGGATGCATAAGACAGAATCCTGCCACTGGGGTTATCCAGAGTCACTGCCTGGGCACTCTGCCTCCATCTGGGAGTCTGACCCTCCTCAAGGGGTCTGAGCTGAGGAGCAGGTGAAGGGACAGAGCAGCCTAGATCCCAGGGAAGCAGCACCCTGGACTCTGCTCCTCTGCTGGCAAAGGTGGGGACTTAGAAATGGGCTGTCTTGGGGCCAGCAGGTAGCAAGCTGGTGACGGTACTGAACTTCCACATGGCTGACCACAGTTCGACTCTCAGATGGCACCGCTTGAAAATCACACCTGGTGTGACTGTGCACCAGCCCAAAATCCTGAGGGGAGACTGGAGGACATGGGATGGAGGCCTGGCCATTCGCTCTCAGGGGGTGAGTTCTCACTTTCCCTTTCTCTGCCTCTCTTCCACATGCCCTATGGCAAGGAAAAAAGAATTTGCAATAGGCTGTCTCACCTGTTCCTGCATCAGGAGGCCACGTGAGCCTGCGGGTCTGACTCACTTTATTTAGCCTGGGTCTCTTCTGAACCCAGTCACTCATCCACATCAAAGAATGACAGTCTAGGGCCCAGCGGGGTTTGCCCTGGGGCACCTGGAAACACTCCTGGGAGAGTAAACACTGAGTAAACCTGGCTGGGAAGCAGCAGTGTGAACCGAGGGGACCTTAAGGACAGCCAGCTCTTGCCTTGGCCTTCCAATCTGCTCTATTCAAGGAGCAGTGACAAGTCTACCTCCAGGTGTCCTCCCATGAAAATGTCTCATTGTGAGTAGCTGAAAGAAGACGGTGTGAATGGACGCTTTGTCTGGACCCTGCCGCCTTGCACAGGGCATGGTCTGCAGAGCCTAGGGCTGACTCGGAGATATGGTAACGTGGGAAGCAAAGAATCCGGAAGCAGGTGCCATTGTTTCATGTTTTAAAACCTTCAGAAAAATTCTCTTTAAAAAGGTTGAATAACAATTTCCTGTCATCCTAGTACATAAATGCCAACAATGTACTAAGTGCTAGAGAAACTTTTTATTCTAGGCTGGGGAATCCTTTCCTTTTAAATTGTGTTAAAATATACATGACATAAAATTTAGTACTTTCAAGTGCACAATTCAATGACATTAAGTACCTTCACCTTCTTGTGCGGCCTTCACCACCCATCCACCTGAAAAAGGTTTTCTTCGTCCCAGGCTGAAACTCCACGCTCATTAAATGATAACTTACCATTCATCCCCTCTTCCCCTCAGCCGCTGGCAACTACCATTCTGCTGGGTTGTTGGAAAAGTCATGAAGCATTTTTGCATGGCAAAACGAAAAAGTAGAAAAGCACATCATGACTTTCCTGATGACCTAATATTTGTCTCTACTGATTTGACTATTCTAGACTCCTATGAGCAGAGTCATACAATGTTTATCTTTGTATGACTGGCTTATTTCACTTAGCATGTTTTCAGTGTTCATCCACAGTGTAGCATATGTAGGAATTTTCTCTCTTTTTTAAAAAACAAAGAGGCGTATCCCCCCCCCCCTTTTTTTTTCTGAGAGAGAGACAAAACCTCTAACATAGACCCAACATCACGATCCATCTCCACCCTTCGGCCAGACCTAGATCATGGGCAAGAGTGTTCCTGATACACTTAGAGAGGTCTCTGGATGTGGACTGAGAACATTTCCACATGGGATTACCTTGCAGTGTCACATTTTACACCACAGTCTGGCCCCATCTTCCTTTTCTTTTAGAGAGAGAGACTTTTGCTATAGGGCACATGTATTTGCCAGAAAGACAGAGAGAGAATTGAGAAGTCACTCCACATAGGGTATGGCCAAGCCATAATCCCTTCTCCATTTTCCTCTCTGGATTTTGGGCTTGCACACACACAAGCCGGCATGAGTTTCAAGCCACCAGGTCCAGGACTCAAACTGT